CATGTTGCTCTTTTATTAGGTAGATTTTTTTAAAATATATTTTATTGAGTTTTTACAGAGAGGAAGGGAGAGGGATAGAGAGTTAGAAACATCGATGAGAGAGAAACATTGATCAGCTGCCTCCTGCACACTCCCTCCTAGGTATGTGCCCGCAACCAAGGTACATACCCTTGACTGGAATCGAACCTGGGACCCTTGAGTCCGAAGGCCGACGTTCTATCCACTAAGCCACACCGGTTAGGGCAGGTTTTATTTTTTATCAGCCCTTCCGTGAAGGCAGGGGGAGAAGTGGCAGCTCACTCACCGTGTGCTGACCGGGGAAAGGTGTGGCAGGCCAGGAGACCGCTCAGCATTTCTTTGGGTCGTTAGGAGAGCGGGTAACCAGGGGCAGGGGTCCCAGACACCATGTGGTTCCAATAGGGGGCGTGCCTTTCTTTTGTGGGTGAGACAGAGACACGGGGCTGTTTGGTGGATGTGTGGCCAGCTGGTCGGTCAAGCCACAGCAGAGAGGGCTGCTTTGTGGCTCTCAGTCGGCTGCTGGGGTGTCCTCCAAGGATGGGATGGCCAGCTGGGCGGGTCACCTCAACTCCTCCCACCTCCGCCACTCTGAGTCTGTCCCCCCAAACCCAGCCAGGGCCCCCGGGCTCCGGACCCGCTCACCTATGTCGATGGCCACGTAGACGTGCTCGGGGTCATGCATGAGGTCGCACAGGGCCATGAGGGCCTTCTGCCTGGTCCGCAGGTCGTCGGACTGCAGCTCCTCGTTCAGCTTGGGCAGCGCCCGGGAGCCGTAGGCGATGGAAGCCTGGGCGGGGTTGATGTCGGGGGGCAGGTACATGGAGATCCAGGTCTTGGCCATCTTTCCGCGCCTGCAGAAGGCGACTCTCGCGCTTCCAAAACGGAGCTCTGCCGAAAGCACGGATGAAAAGAACCCAAACGTTGTCATTGGTACTACCGGGATTTAGACGCTACTTCTCATTGGGTCCTCAGCACGGTAAGCACAGCGTGCGTGGATTATTTATTTATTTATTTTATAACTGATTCTTTTTTTTAAAAAAATATATTTTATTGATTTTTCTTACAGAGAGGAAGGGAGAGAGATAGAGAGCTAGAAACGTTGATGAGAGAGAAACATCGACCAGCTGCCTCTTGCACACCCCCCACCGGGGATGTGCTCGCAACCAAGGTACATGACCTTGACCGGAATCGAACCTGGGACCTTTCAGTCCGCAGACCGATGCTCTACCGCTGAGCCAAACCGGTTTCAGCTGCGTGGATTTTTTAAACGTTTTTATTGATTTTTAAAGGGAGAGAGGAAGGGAGAGGGAGAGATAGAAACATCGATGATGGAGAAACATCACCACTCAGCTGCCTCCTACACGCTCCTTTACTTGGGACGGAGCCCACAGCCCGTGCGTGTGCCCTGACCGGGAACCGAACCAGGGGTCTCAACCACTGAGCCACACCAACCAGGCCAGGTAGATATTTTTACAGCCATTTTACAGATGAGCAAACTGAGACCACGGAGGGATCTGCTCAGGGGCATCGTGAAAGTAAGGAGCAGCCCACATGGCAGAGTTCTCCCAGGCTTACCGGCATAAGTGCCCGCCCACACTGGCTAACACTTCTCTGGTGCCAGCAGAAGCCAGCGTCTGCCTGAGCCACCCCAGAGAAGGGCACTTGTGTCACCTCATTCTACAAAGGAGGGAGGCGAGGTTCCGGGGGGAGGGGCTTGCCTGAGGAAACAGAGCTGCTAAGCGGGGAGCCAGTGTTCAAACTGGGGCCAGCTCTTTAGTCCATCAGGGGCCCCATTCAGATGCTCCTGACCCGCCCCCAAAAGAGGAATTCAGGGTTTAACGTTTTAAAAAGTTAAAGGTGAAATTCCTGCCGGGACCGGTTTGGCTCAATGGATAGAGCCTCGGCTTGGGGACTGAAGGGCCCCCCCGGGTTGGATTCCGGTCAAGGGCATGTACCTTGTTTGCGGGCACATCCCCAGCAGGGGGTGTGCAAGAGGCAACTGATCAATGACTCTCTCTCATTGATGTTTCGAACTCTCTGTCCCTCTCTCTTCCTCTCTGAAAAAAAATCAATAAAATATATATATATATTTTTTAAAAGTTAAAGGTGAAATTCCTTTTTTTAATCCTCACCCGAGGATATTTTTTCATTGACTTTTAGGGAGCTTGGAAGAGAGAGGGAGAGACGGAGAGAAACATCGATGTGAGAGAAACACATCGATGGGTTGCCTCCTGCGCGTGTCCCACCAGGGCTCCAGGCGGGGAGGAGCCTGCAGCTGAGGTACGTGCATGCCCTCGGCCAGGATCGAACTCGGGATCCTTCAGTCTGCAGGCCGACGCTCTATCCACTGAGCAACATCAGCATGAATTGTTTTTATCACACACACACACACACACACACACACACACATGCCTATAGGCAGTGTGGCTTAGTACTCAGAGCCGGCTCCAGACGCAGGCCACGGGCGGCCCTTGGCAATTTCTTCCTCTTTGTGGGTCTCAGCAGTTGCAGGAAGGACTTGATCATAGCACCCCTTGCTCCCCGAGCTGGCATGGGAACCGTCCCCTGAGCCTGCACACCCGGGCTCCACATGCCTTGGCTGCGGTCCTTACGGTGGGAACGGGAGCCGCCGTGCCCGGCCCCGCCCTGTAGGATTCCACCCCAGTCAGAGGGGTCAGCCCAGCTCCGGTCCTAGGCACCGGGTGACCCAGGAGAGAAGGGTGGTGGGCTGGGTGGGAGGTGGCCATTTCCGATTGGGGCTCCCCCTGCAGGGAATGCTGGGCTCCGGGAGGCAAGGGCCTGCCCTCCTGCAGGTGGCATGGGCTGCGGGAGTCCCGCCGCGGATGAGAGAGGACGCGGGACCCGTGTGAGCCAGAATGGATGGGTCTGGGGGGGGGGTCCCCTGTCCCCCTGTCTGGGGCCCCTGCCTGGTGCTGCAGGCTCACCTGCTTCAGCTTGCGCGGTTGCCCGTTGCCAGGCGACCCGGTTGCCAGGCAACCCCCGAGGCGTCCTCAGCGCTGAGCTCTGCGCCTTAGGCGCCCACCGCGCAGGCGCGCAGGCAGCGCGAGGAGCCTGGGTCTGGGGCCGGCTGTAAAGAGCGGGGAGAAGGATGCTTTAGGGGGTTCCGTGGGGAACAAAGACGGCTCTGCTTTGTGCACAGCACCGGAGGGAGGGAGGGGAAGTGAGTGAGCGGACACTTCTCTGTGCGGACACTTCGCATGCCTTTAGTCCTGCGAGTAACCCGTGAGCTGCTAGCATGATCCAGGTCAAGGCAGGACCCTCAGAGGGTTTCTTTTTTTTTTTTTTTAATATATTTTATTGATTTTTTCACAGAGAGGAAGGGAAAGGGATAGAGAGTTAGAAACATCAATGAGAGAGAAACATCCATCAGCCGCCTCCTGCACACCTCCCACTGGGGATGTGCCCGCAACCAATGTATGTGCCCTTGACCGGAATCGAACCCGGGATCCTTGAGTCCGAAGGCCGACGCTCTAGCCACTGAGCAAAACCGTCTCAGTTTGGCTCCGTGGATAGAGCCACCCAGGCCGGAGCCCAGGACTGCCTTAGAACAATGCAGATGAGGGTCCCTAAACGGTGGGCACGTCCATCGCTTGCTGCTGCAGAGTGAGAGCCCTCAATCCAATGTCAACACTAAGCCAGTACTCGCATGCCAGGATTGCAAAGAGGAGGAGGTGTCTGAAGGGAAGAGCCGGAGAGGGCAGGCCTCCGAAGGACGTTGGAGCTGACACGGAAGGGCCAGGGATGTGGGGCGTTACTGTGTATTCTGGGTTTCAAAGCATTTATTTCTATCGGAGGTGCTTCTTCATTAGACCATGTACACCCGAAGGGGAAATCCAAACAGCACAAAAGAAAAATCTCTCCCTCAGTCCCCAGGCAACAGGCTGTCCACACCCCTGGTAACCACTGGTGTCTTTCCAGATGTGAGCTAAGCCTACACAAGTAAAACAAAACCCTAGTCAGTATATTACAGAAATAAACGCTTACACACGTCACATCCCAGCCCCTAGCGGTTTGGGCTCCCACCCCTCCCCGCTACAGTATCGTCAGAGAGATCTCTCCACCATCAGCCCCGCCCAGACTCCCATCTTGGGGTCCAGGCTCCACCCACACCGCTATGGCCCCGCCCACAGCCAGTATCCTGCCCCGCTCTCGTTTCCATGGCGATCGCTCCGTGATGAGGAAAGCAGCCCAAATGCCCTAGACTCCCTCGGGGCCCTGGTTGCTATGGTGACGGCTCCGCACTCCGCCGCAGTGGGATTGCTTCCGCTCCGAGCCCCGCCCTGTCCCAGCCCCCGGCGTCCGGGATTGGTCAGATGCTCCCCAGGCGTGCGTGCGCGCTTGGCCGTCGTTGCCATGGTGATTGCCGCAGCGGAAACCAGCCTGGACCAGGCTGCGCAGAACCCAAATCCTCCGCTGCTGTTGCTGCTGCTGCCGCCGCGGTGAGTCCGCCGCCCTCTGTCCTCCCCTTGGCCCCCCGCCCGCTTCCCACCCCCCGAATCTGAACCCGGCAGCTACCAAGCATTTCCTGAACCCCGACTCTGGGCCAGGCCCGGGCTGGACCGGGAGGAGAGCGGGGCCCGAACGACGACGACAGGCCGCCCTCGAGGGGAAGGGGGCAGAGGAAGGCGCGATCCGGCTGTTGACTAGGCATCAGGGGCCCCATCCCTGGAGGTGGGGGTGACAGGCCTGTGGGCTGAACCCCAAGGCCCTTGGCCCAGCCAAAACCTTCCTCCCTTAGAGACTAGGAGCAGGGCAACCCCTCTCCCCACATCCAGCCTGCCTGCAGGCCTGGGAGGTGTGCCTCACCCACAACCAGGCATGGGCGCAGAGGGGGGCGCTCCTGGGGGGACACCCCGCAGCAGGAGGGAGGCCCAGGTCTCCTTGCGGGAGAGCCCCCGGGCCTTGGCAGGCTCCCTGACTCTCCCCCTCCCCCCGCTGGGTCTCCAGAACTTTCCGCCAGGATGAGGGACTCCCTGCCGCCTCCGAGGCCCCCTGTGAGCGCGGACCGCGTCATCGCCAACCTCCCTAAGGTAGGCAGTCCTGGGGCCAGGCCTGACCTGAGCACTGCGCTCCCCACACCGGGTCCGCAAATACCGTTCTCAACCCGAATCCGCACTTTTAACCGGTTCACCATTAATCTGCATACCGGTTTTAAAAAATGCGGGTACAGGTTCAAAGTGTAGATTTTGTAATAAAAGAAAACACGATAGCCCTAACGGGTGTGGCTCACTGGATAGAGTCCTGCTCTTCCTGCTGACTGAAGGGTCCCAGGTTCGATTCCGGTCAACGGCATGTACCTTGGTTGCAGGCACATCCCCAGTAGGGGGTGTGCAAGAGGCAGCTGATCGATGATTCTCTCTCATCGATGTTTCTAACCTCTCTATCCCTCTCCTTTTGTCTCTGTAAAAATCAATGAAATACATTTATTTAAAAAAAGAAAACACCATAATTTCAAGAGAAACCTCAAAAGTGGCTTTTATCCAAAGCCATGTCCATCGCCAGCCACACATTTCCCCTTCTGTCAGGTCGTTGGTGGGTACCGTCCCAATAGAACTGTTCTTGTTTTGAGGCAGACCATGCAGAGACCCCACTGTCCACTTCTTTGTACTTTTGGAAGTGCTGACAGCAGAGGGGATGGGCCGGGGAGAGCCAGGGGCTGCCGGCGTGGTGTGGGGCAAGGGGGAAGGGCCGGTGGCAGGTCACCACCTCGCTGCCCGGCTTGGGGATGGAGCCGCAGCGTGGCGGGGCCAGGTGCCCACATGTCTGTCTGTCTGTCTGCCTGCCTCTCTCTCTGCAGTTCTACACGCCGGCCGCCTGCCTGCAGCTCAAGGAGCGCTTCCACGGGCAGGTGCCTGCCGCCTGCCAGCGCAGGAGCAGGGCCACCTTCGGGTGAGCACCCCTCAGCGCCCAGGGATGTGGGACGTGGGGGGCACGCGCGGATGTGGAAATGCACACGTGACACACACGTGATGCACGCACACGTGACACACGCACACATGACACACATGTGACACGCGCGCACGTGACACACATATGACACACGGCACGGGGCAGCCCAGGTCAGGCCCGGATGCGATGGGGGTTTTCGCTGCTTCGTTGGGCGCCCGGCTCCACGGGACCATTTCCCAGCACATTCCGCCTGTGCTGTCCCAGCCGGGGTCTCAGTACTGTCCCCGTTTGTCCTGCTCTTCCTGCTCTTTTTATTTTTTAAAGTATTTTTTATTGATTTCAGCGAGGGAGGGAGTGATGAGACACACCCGGTTCCCCTTTGGGGGGGGGGACACTGAGGGGGGCTGTGGGGCAGGTGGGCATCCCGTTGCCCCGGAGGCATGTCTGCCCTCTGGTGGCCGCACCGCGCAAGCCCCGCCCTCCGGAGTGACGTCAGCAGACCCGGTGCTATTGGCGGTTGGGGAGGGGGGAGATGGAGGGGCGGAGGGCCCCCCTGGTGTCTGCACCCCTCTGTCTGAGGGTCACCCCCCAGACTGAGGACCCGGGCCGAGGGACAGGCTGGGCCGGGCTCAGGAGTCTCCGGGGCTGCGGGGGAGGCCGAGGGTGCGAGCGCCGAGTGGGGCCCAGAACACTCAAGGAGCCAAAGAGCCGCAGTTTGCCGACCGCGGGTTTAGGCCAGCCTGTCGTTACAGGAGCAGCAGGAAGTAAACCCCTCCTTTCTGGGCTTTGACCGGGTTCTGGAACACTGAGCCCTGTGCCCGGCCGGGGAGACCCCTGACCTCTCCCTGCGGGGCTCCCAGGGAGACCGTCCATGTGTCTGCCGGGTCCTGCCTCCCCTCCCCCGGGCTCCTGGGCAGCGCCAGTGTGGGTGCAGAGGGCGCACCACCTGGCTCGCCCCCCAGGCCTTCGCCCTCCAGCCTGGGCCTCCGCTTCCTGACGGGAGCCAGCACCTGGGTTGGGGGGGCCATATTCTAGACGCCAAGACTGAGGCTCGGAGAGGGGGAGCAGAGTCTCTACCCTCAGCCCACCTTTCCCTCAACTCAGCCCAGCTCACAGGTGCTCCCCCAGCTGCTGCCTGTTGCCATGGTGTCAGAGGAGGAGGAGGAGGAGGGGGAGGAGGGGAAGGAGATTTCTTCTGAGCAATCCAAAAATACACACCAGCCGGCCCCTCCCTCCTCATCCCTCTCTCCAGCTGCAAGCCTCCTTTGGGGCAGGTGGGCGGGGCCTCTTCCTGGCCGGCAGTGGGGAGCACAGGAGGCAGAGGGGCCAGGCAGCGGGTTCTGGGGGGACCCCCCCCCCCCGCCTCACCCAGCAGGGTTCCTGGGCCTGGGCTCCAGCGCCTCCCACAGTTCCCAGTCCGGGTGGGCTTCTCCTGCCTCCCCACCTTCGCACCTGCAGTTCCCTCCTCCTGGAATGCCCTTCCTCATCCTCCCAGTCCCAGTGGGGCTTTCCCTCCCTGGGACCTTCCCCCTGCAGCCACCCCGGCACAGCCCTCTTCTGGGTGCCAGCCCCGGGCACAGACAGGTGCCCAGTAAGTCCGGAGGGAGGGAGGGAGGGAAGGGAGCAAGGAAACACCTCTCAGGGGAGTGGAGAGGATCTGGACCAGAGCACCGGGCACAGGCTGGGCATGGAGCAGGGCACGGAGCAGGCCCCTCCCTCCCACCGCCTCCACCTGAGCCCCGGCTCCAGCACCTTCGGCCTCATCTGATTGGAGCCGGCTCAGGGGCCGCAGGCCTGTGTGTGTTGCCCGTTTGATGCAAAGTAATGACCCCAGGAGGCAGAGAGCACGTGGCTCCATGGGGAGCCGGTGTGTGAGGGAGAAGGGCCTCCATCACGGAAACGGGGCCCTGGCACCCGCTGAGCTTCGGCGGGAGCTGCAGGAACTCCGAGGACCACCCCCAGCCCCGGAGCACTGCTGCCTGAACGCAGGACACTCACGCGGGGGGGGGGGGGGGCAGCAGGGTCCCCAGAACAAATGCAGACCCTCCTGCATCTTCACAGCGGGGCACAGACACCCCGAGCGTCCCAGCAAGTGTTCCCCCGCTCCCCACACACACACATCCAGCACCCTGGCCAGTGTTGCTCAGTGGATGGAGCATCAGCTGAAGGGTCCCAGGTTCCATTCCGATCAAGGCTCCTCCCTGGCTCCAGCCCTGGTCGGGGGCGTGCAGGAGGCAACCAGGTGCTGTGTCTCTCTCACATCGATGTTTCTGTCTTTCCCTCTCTCTTCCACTCTCTCTAAACATCCATGGAAAGGTACCCTTGGCTGAGGATTAAGGGAAAAAGCCCCCATGCAGGATTGCAGGGATGGGGGGGCTTATGGGGGGCCGCTGAGGGAGGACTGAGTGTGGGAGGTGCCCGTGCCCCAGCCTGAGCACCACACACCGCCCCGCAGGCTCCGCCTCGCCAAGGCCGTGGTCATCGGCGACCTCCACGTGGGCAAGACCAGCCTCATCCACAGGTAAGCGGGCGCCGCGCCCAGCGCCAGGCTCCGGGGCTTTGCCGGGAGGCCCAGAGGGCACTGCCGGGAGGCACACCCAGGGAAGCGGTGCAGGAATGGGGGGCAGGGGGGTCAGTGGAGAGGCTGGCATCCCAGGACCCCGGCATCGGGCACACTGTCCCCCTGGCGCCGTGGGCACCCTCCCCGCCCTCGCTGAGTGAGCCTGTTTCTCTCTCTGCCCTGACCTGTCTCCTCACATAATTGTTTTATTAAATGTAACTTGACTTCAGAGAAGAAGGGAGAGGGGGAGAGAGAGAGAGAGAGAGAGAGAAACACTGATGTGAGAGCACATGGGTCGGCTGCCTCCTGCACACCCCACACTGGGGATCAAGCCCGCCATCCGGGCCTGTGCCCTGACCGGGAATCGAACCTATGACCTCCTGGCTCACAGGTTGACCCTCAGCCACAGAATCACGCCGCCGGGCCCCCCATAATCCTCTTGGCTGTCCCTCCTCGGCCTGTCTCGGGACCGTGGCCTCCTTAGCGACGCCCAGCGGGGGGCTCCTCGGCGCCCCCAGACTCTCACAGCCACCAAGCCTCCCCGCAGCCTCTGCTGACGTGCCCGTTCCCACAGGTTTTGCAAGAATGTGTTTGACCACAACTACAAGGCCACCATCGGGGTGGACTTCGAGATCGAGCGCTTCGAGATTGCCGGGGTCCCCTTCAGCCTCCAGATGTGAGTGCCCGTCCGGCGGCGCCGGTGCCTGCGTGTGGGGGGGGGGGGCGGTCTGAGCCCCGACGCTCTTTCTCGTGCTCTCAGCCGGGACCCGGGGGACCAAGCAGGGCCCAGGACCACGCGCCTCCCCACCTGGCCACCGGGGACCCCACGGCGCACCAGCCCCCCAGGCGGCCTCTGGCCGGTCACTTCCGGCCTCTGAGCCTCTGTTCCATCTGGAAAACGGGGCCCAAACTGGCCACGCTGGCTGGGCGGCCATTTTCTGTTTTAGAACGGCACGGCCGGAAGGGATGGGCTGTAACTCCACCTCCTCTTGGAAGCGGGCACGGCCGGCCGGCTGCAGGCACTTCCTGCGCGGCGTGGGCCTCGGTCTGCTGAGCTCTGACCCTGCGGGCACTTAACCTGCTCTCTTTCTCTCTCTCCCCCGCCCCTTCCTGCCTCCGCACAGCTGGGACACAGCAGGGCAGGAGAAGTTCAAGTGCATTGCGTCTGCCTACTACCGGAAAGCCCAGGGTGAGCGCCGGGGGCGGCGACGCGGGGCCCCCACCACCACGCACCGAGGGCTCCCGCCAGCTCCATCCCCAGGAGGCACTGAGGACCCCTGGCCAGTCCTCGGGGCTGGGTGGCTCAGCAGTCACACCCTGTGGGGACCTGTGGGACGGTGGGGATGAGGCTCCCTGAGAGTCTCGGCCCCCGTGTCAGCTCCGAAAAGGACCCAAGGGAGACACGTATCCGAACCCCTGACTCGGGGCGGGGGGCGGGGCCGGCGATGGGAGGAGCTGAGGGCGGGGGGGGGGGGGGGAGGGGGAGGAGGCTGCACCTCCATGTTCTGCCCTCCCTGCCCCCATCAGCTATTTCCCCAAAGCTGGTGGTTTAAGCTCACAAACCGCCTGTTGTATGTTTGTGGTTGTTAGTCCTCACCCCAGTGAGGGTGTTTCCCATTGATTTTTAGGGAGCAGAAGAGAGAGGAGAGACGGAGAGAGACACATTGATGGGTTGCCTCCCACACGGCCATGACCAGGGATTGGTCATGCAATTGGTTGCAGGGCCAGGGAATGAGCCTGCAACCGAGGTACTCGCACTTGACCGGAACCGAACCCGGGACCCTTCACTCTCTCCACTGAGCCGCACCAGCCAGGGTGCTAACTGCTCTTAATAGCGGCCACCGGTCCCGAATCTGCCTGCATCAGGCCCTGCACCAAGAGCTTTAAAACAGCTGCTCTGCCCCCGCAGGGGAGAGGGACCTCAGGGGATCCCCCACGGGGGCTGCACCGCTGGGGGTGGGCCACCAGGGGCAGCCGCGGGCTGGCTCCTTCCTGGCCTCCATGTGGGGGCCAGAGCGGAGTGCCTGGGGGCCACCCGGCAGTTCCTGGGGAGCAGGGAGCAGACTGAAGGGCCCCGCTTGTCACGCCCTTCGCCTCCCCGTCGCCGACCAGCTCTTGGCTTTCCCCCCACGCGCAGTGATCATCATTGCCTTTGACCTCTCGGATATGCAGACCCTGGAACACGCCAGGCAAGTCTGGCGCCTGCGGCCCGCGGTCCCCCTGGGCCCCTGAGCTGGGCCGCGGTGGCAGGTGCGAGGGAGCAGCTCGCTGGCCAGGCCCTCGTTAGCCCCAGGACTTGCCCCCCGGGCCGCCCGAGGCCGGCTCTTCACCCCGTGGCCACCTGGAGAGCCTCCTTGTTGGATGAAGGGCCGCGTCGGTTCCTGTCCCGGAGCCTGCCAGCTCCGTGGCCAGTCCCCTGGGAGGGACGCGCCCGGCACCTGCCGTCCTGGGCAGGGATGGGGCCGGAGCTGCCCACTCCACCAGCCCCGAGGCCGTCCTGCCCCTGCCGGGATCCCCGGCTCAGAGCTAGTTCCCGCCCCTCCCACCTGTGGGTGCGCACATCTCGCATCTCCAAACCCTGGGGGGCCTGGTGGGCGTCCCAGCTCGTGGCAGTGCAGGGTCACCCCAGCCGACAGAGCCCCGACAGAGCCCCGGCCGAGAGGGGGTCTCCACGGCTCCGGGCTGGTGCTCCTGGGCCCACCCCCTACCCCCCCGTGGTCCAGCCAGGCCCCTCCGGCCTCCGCCGGGCCCAGGCACCCTCCCAGCTCAGTCTCCCGCCTGGCGGCGGCGGGTCTGCGCCCACCCCCGGCCTTCCTCGGGCCTCTGGGTGCTGGGGTACCTCTCAGCTGGTCCCCCGATCCCCGTGCACCCCAGGCAGTGGCTGGAGGACGCGCTGAAGGAGAACGAGCCGGGCTCCTTCTTCCTTTACCTCGTGGGAACCAAGAAGGACCTTCTGGTGAGCCGGGGGGAGAGGGGGGGCTCCCCGGGGCGGGGGGCGGGGAGGGGGGTCCCCGGGAAACGTACCCGCTTGCAGCCCCAGCCCGGATGGGGGGCGGCCCGGCGTGGCCGGGTGAGGATCTGAAGGCCGCAGGCCCGGGGCCTGACGTTAGGGGCGCCCCTCTCAGGGGCGCTGCTGGGGGGGGTCTCCCCCCGCCCTGGGCCCGCCCTGCCCAGTGAGATGGGCAGGAGGCCCCGTGGGCGGCGCCCACGCCTCTTAGAAGATCCGCTTCCCCAGTCCAGGGCGGCGTGTGAGCAGGCGGAGCGCCAGGCCGTGCGCCTGGCCAACGAGATGCTGGCCGAGTACTGGTCGGTGTCGGCCAAGACAGGTGAGTGGGCAGCGGGGCGCAGCGCGGTGCGCTGGAGAGGGCCGGGCCGGGCCTCCTGTCCCGGGCAGCGCCCCCTCCTGGGGAGACCGGACCCCGCCCCTGGGCCCCGGCAACAGCGACCCCTGACCCTCCGGGCAGGTCCCTCTGTCCCTGGGAAGCGGCTTCCAGGGTCCCGGGGCGGCGGCGCCGGGTCTGGGATTGGAACCCAGGCCTCACTAACCACTGCACCTGCGGGTGCCGGGGAGGGGCACCGCCTGGCACACAGAACGGGGCCCCCCTCCCCTGGGGGTCATCGTGGGAGATACGAAACCTCGCTCACGGCCTCCAGCCTCAGCCAGATCCACCGGAGCCGGCCCCCGGGCCCTGGGCCGCCTTCCCCGGGGGCCACTTGCCCAGCGTCTCTGAGTCGCAGGCTCTTGCCTGGGAAGCAGGGGCGCTGCTCGCCTGTCTGCAATGGAAGAGCAGGTCTGGAATTGGGAAAGCCACGTGTGTGCGCCGAGAAAGACCCGGCACTGCCGCCGAGCTGCGGCCGGCCCGGAACGCAATGACGGGCGCGAGTGCCCGGCGCAGAGAGGGCCGGGGTCAGAATTTCTCCACCCGGCGGCCCTTGCCCTGGGAGGGGCCAGGGACAGGCAGGCAGCGCCCAGGCCGGTGCCCCCTGCTCCTTCCAATGGCACCCCGGGCCCCAGGAGGGCTCCCTCCCGCTAGGGTGGCGGCAGGCGTCCCGAGGGCCCCTGTGCCGCCACCGGACAGGCTGCGGGCTGCCCAGGGGAGTGTGAGGGGCCTGGGCCCCGTCCTGTGGCCGGGAGGGCAGCCTCCACCCGGAGGGGGACCCCCAAGGCCCCTCGGGGGCGGGCAGCCCGGGCCAGTCCTCCAGCTGTGCCCCGGCCAGTGCCCCCGGGTCACCGGAGAGCAGGACCCGGGCCCCGCCCCACGCCGGGCCTCGGGGAGCTCGGCACCCATTGGCCGGAGGAGCGGACGTGGGGAGCCAGGGCGGGTCCGTCCCCGTCCCCCGCACCCCGCTGTCCCCGCCCCCGGCGGCGGAGGCTCAGGCCGGCTCCCGGGCTCGCAGGGGAGAACGTGAAGGCCCTCTTCAGCCGCGTGGCCGCCCTGGCCTTCGAGCGGTCGGTGCTGCTGGCCCTGGAGCGGAAGAGCGCCTGCCTGCTGCGCCGGATCGCCGACGGAGACCTCATCCGTGCGTGCCGGCCGGGGGGGGGGGGCGCGGGGGGTGCTGGGGGCGGCCGCCCCTCCGACCCGGGCCCCCGCCTTCCCGACCTGCCTGCCAGCCCAGACCCCGCCCCGGTCCCCTGTCCACCCGGCAGTGCCCCCACGAGCAGGCTGGGCACCAGGCTCCACGGTGCGTCCTGGCTGTGGCTCTCCAGGTTCCTACCTTTGCCCGCCACCTGGAACGTGTGCCCGTGCATGCCCGGCCTTGAATGAGAGACCTCTGACCTCTGACCAGCAGCCACCAGGGGGCATCGGGTGGGGGCCCGTCCCGTGTCCCTGCAGGTGCCTGGTTGATGCAGAGTGACTCTCCCCTCCTCCCCTCTCCTCCCCTCCCCTCCCCTCCCCGCCTTCCAGGGGTGGAGGGCAGGCGCTCTGAGGCCGACTGGGACGAGATGCCCTCAGGCCAGGGCTGCTGTTAGCCGGGGTCAGTGTCCGAGGCCTCCAGTCCGACACCCGCGTGGGCAGCGCCATGAGGCTGCGGAGCGGAACGTGGAGCCTGACTCTGCGACGGACCTGTCCACCACCTCTCCCCGCCCCACTCCCTTCTGGCAGGAAAGCCCTCACGGCGGCCCGGGGCCCACGCTGTGCCCTCTGGAGGCCAGGCTCACCCACAGTCCCTCCTCACCCCCCATCTGCCCTGCCTCGAGGAACCTCAGGCGGCAGACACAGCACGCGGTGCCCGCGGCCCCCCTGGGTGAGCGGGGCCGGGCGGAGGGGGCACCAGGACGGCCCACCACCCCGGCCTGGACTCCCCTTCACACTTCCGGGTCTCCCGTCCACTGTCCCTCTGCCGGAGCCGTGCGGGGCCCCCGGAGTCTGCCTCTCTCGTGGGCCCACTACTCCCTGGAGGAGGACGGGTGAGACGGCCTCTCTGGCTCACCCAGATCCCAGTCCTGCCCTCTGGGCGTGGGCAAGGCCAGCAGAACAGGCCCCCCCACCCTCCGGCCCACCTGCCAACCCGTCTCCCCACGGGCTGCAAGGAAAGCCTGCCCAGCCGCCCCGGAGGGCTCTCTGCTGCGTCCCTTGAGCATGGCACCGCCCGCTCTGCCCCTGGCTTAGTAGTGCCCACGGTTGCCCCTGCTGCCCCCCTCTCCCTCCAGCCTGCCCGGGAAAGGCCTGGGGACGAGAAGATGGCGGCACTCGCCCGCCCCTCGGGGCCTTTGCGATGGCACCCACATGTCTTCAGAGGTCACCCAGGTCCCCCAGAGTCAGCGTGCCCGTCGGCCCACCCCCTGCACACCCAGCCCGGCTCCTGCCCCGAGCCACGCCCTCTCTATGCTCTGGGGGTGCTCCCCAGAAGGGCAACTAACACCCCCACCACCACAGCCCCAGGAGTGCCGCCCAGCGTCCCCGGGGGCGAACACCGGCGTCTTTTTCTGCTTATTCCCCTTTGCCACGCTTTTAGCTTTCTCTCTGTTTAAGACGAAATAAAATCCTTCTCCGTAAACATCACCCTTAAACGGAACGTGTGCTGATTGTCAAACAAAACGCGCGTCCAGAGCTCTGCGCGCAGAGGGGGGTCCCGCCAGTGGGGGCGCTCCGGGGCGGGGGCAGCTGTGCGCAGCCGGGAGGCTCCTTCCCGGCGGGTTCTGCTGGGCACAGCCTGGCGTCGGGGGCTGGTGGGCTGTCTAACCGGCTGTCTAACCGGATGACCCGTCCGCGCACCAGCCTGGCCGCTCCCGTCCCAGTGCCCTGCAGGCGCCCTGTCCTCACTCCGACCGACGCCCTTAGTCGGTCCCGGCCCTGCCTGCGCCCAGGGAGGGAGAGAGGCCGGTCCATTCCCCTCCCATCCAGTCTGGGGAGGGGCTGGGAGCCCTCCGGCGAACCTCGCTCTCAGAGGGACCCAGGGCGTGCCCAGCAGGGAGACCAGGAGCTGGGGCGGGAGAAGAGGCCATCAGTGGCATCCCACGGTCACCCATCCACCAAGTGAGCATCGGTGAACGGAGAGGCCGGGCGAGGAGCGAGGCGCTGCCGGCTGTAGGGACTGCAGGGGGGGGGGGGAGGGCCTGGGGCAGGGACAGGAGAAGGTGGGGGCAGGGCCCAGCTCAGAGGGGGGCCCTGCTTCTGACGCATAAGGGCTCCAGGAGATGGGGGGCCTGCCACCCAGGGAGCCCAAGGCTCAGGCCACGGCCCTGAGACAAGACCCCCTCCCGTGGCTCCGGGCCACCCTGCCATCCGCTCCGGCCCCGTGTCACCTCCCCTATGGCGGCTCCCCAGAGCGGGGCTGAGCGGCGGCTGGAACTGTCCCTGTCAGGCCGCCTCCTTCCCGGATCCGGCCGCACCCAGAGGCAGCCCAGCACCAGGGCACCCCCACCTGTCCGAGCCGGCGGCCCAGGCGGCTGGGAGCTGTCAGCCTGGCTGCGGCCCTTTGGTCAGCTGGCCTCCCGCTCAGGCCTCCGGGAAGCAAAGCCGCTCGGGACTCCCCGCCCCCCAGGTGCCTGCCTCCCCGGCCCGAGGGTGCTCCGGCCTCTGGCCACGGGAAGCCACGCCGGGACCGCCTCCTCCGTGGCCAGGCCTTCCGAACACGCTCCTCCCGTCCCTGCCCGCCCCTCCCCCCTCATGATGGGGGGAGGGGGGAGGGAGCAGCCAGAGCCCTCCCCTGGGACACCCGGCTGCCAGGCCTCGTCAATAATTGATTCTGCAGAAGCCGAGGGGCCGGGAGGAGAGGCCCACACCCTCCCTCCCACGGAGCCCCGGGCCGAGGAAGTCCTGGGGAGACGGCTCCCCACCCCGGCAGGAGGCGGGAGGCGGGAGGCGGGAGGCGGGAGGCGGTGCCCCGTGGGGGACTGTCCAGCACAGCGACCAGAACAGCTGTATCGATCGCCCGCTTCCAGATCCCGCCTGCAGCCCCCGGGGCGGGCAGGTGATGGATGGGGTCTGACAGATGACAGATGGGGGTCGTGCGGACCTCCTCCTGGGAGGGAGTCCCGCTCTGGCCTCTGACCCCCAAAGCGGGTGGAGATGGGGGTGCAGACAGGCCCAGGAGGAACACGGAAAAGCCTCAGCTCTCAGGGGCTCACAGGGGGCCTCCAGGCAGAGAGCCCGTGTCCTTGCAACGCCACTCGGACCACTGCCTGTGTCCCGTGGCCGGAGCGGCCTCCCGGGGCCCCGGGCCGCTGGGCCCAGCACCTTCCCCCGCCCCCGCCCCCCCAGATGGTGGCTGTGAGGGTGGAAGGGGGCCCTCGCCACAGGCGGGCAGCTGGTGAGAGCCCTGACGACCGGGTGACTCTGCCAGGTGTACCGGTTACTGGTGCGGATTTTTTTTTTTCAAGAGCTGGAGTCACAACGGCACGAAAGGACGTCTTTTTGGCATCCAATTGTGACCGGCCACGAAAAGTGGATTTATTTTGAGAATTCCAAACACACAGCCAGGTAAAGACGCAGGAAAAGATCTTGCTGGGAAGTGTGAACTCGCCCGCCGTGTTCACCTGCCCTCGCTCCTTCAATGACCACGTGTTCCGACCGACGGCACACGCCCTGTCTGAGCGGCACGGCCACACGGACGCAGACGTGGGCAATGGGGTCTGGGAATGGTCTGCCTCAAACAAGGACAGTTCTATTGGGACGGTACCCACCAATGACCCAAACGTGTGGCTGGATGACTTTGAAGAAAGCACTTTTGACGTTTCTCTTGAAATTACCGTGTTTTCTTTGATTATGAAAATCTGCATTTTTAACCGGTTGACACCTAATCTGAATTAAAAAAAAACAAAAACATTTCTTTATTGATTTCAGAGAGGAAGGGAGAGGGATAGAGAGAGAGAGAGACATCAATGATGAGAATCTTTGATCAGCTGCCTCCTGCACGCCCACAACCTGAGCATGTGCCCTTGGGCAGAATCGAACCCGGGACCCCTCAGTCCATACGCCGATGCTCTATTCATTGAGCCAAAAACAGCCAGAGCTTATCCGAATTTTAACCTAGATGCTCCTTACACACACCTAGAACCTCTTAGTCTTCCTGCCTTTGCCTCTCGGTTCCTCGTCCCAGGGCCAGCTCAGGAGTCCCCTCCCCTGGCAAACCTCCCTCAGACCTTGCCTCCCCCTGGCACCCACACGGCAGCACACAGCCCTCTGCCAGGCCCGGCTCCGTTTGCCTTGTCAATTCCTCCCCCACACACCTGCACCTCCCCCCGTGGGCCACCCACGCGGGCTCCTCACTCCCCAGCACTGGCTGAGGGGGGCGGGGGGCGGGGGTCATGGGTACCAGTGTCAGGTCTCTGCACTAGGAGTTTAGATCCAGCCGGGGACAGACAGCAGATGGGGAACCACAGTGTCTGGGCCCCACTTTCCTCCTTCCTCCCCCCTCCCTCCACTCCCTCCCGGGAAGGGCTGGGTGATAAGCTTTGCTGGAAAGCACCAGAGAGCCGGGCGGGAGCGCGCTCAGAAAGAGGCTGAGGACGGGAGGGTGTCCTTGGGTCGGAAGGAGCCGTCCCTCGGGGAGATAGCGGCTATCTGGCCGCGTCCTTGTGCTCAAAGACAGGCCGTTTGGCCAGAGAAGAGCCGCAAACCCCAACCACACATCTGCGGGGTCTGGGCACTATGTCTGCTTCTGTCTACGACATTCAAGGTGGGGCTGAGCTGGGGCCTGCACACCAGAGGCTTGGGGGTCCTCTCTCTGCTGACCGCCAGCGCCCGGGGCCTGAGCCTGGCTGGCCTGCTTGCTGGGTGGCCTGAGCTGCCAGCAGGGAAGGCAGCTGCTATGGATGCTGAGCCAGCCCCTGCGAGGCCAGGACTTATCCTTCCCATTTTGTTTAATTGGGGATGACATTGGTTCACAAAACCATCCAGGTTTAAAGTGAACTTGACCCAGGCATGGCTCCGTGGCCGAGCATCCACCTCTGAACACCGTCAGGGCAGGCTCTGGTTTGCAGGCTCGATCCCCAGTGTGGGGCGTGCAGGAGGCAGCCGGTCCATGATTCTGTCTCATCATGGATGTTTCCATCTCTCTCTCTCTCCCCCTTCCTCTCTGAAATAAATTTAAATATATATATATATATATATATATATATATATATATATACACACACACACACACACACACACACACAGGCTAGTGGGTACATTTTCTTTATTCAGAGCTTCGTCTGGCTTCCCCCATTATTTCAAATGAGTTAAACCTGAAAAGGAGTGAAAACTCAGTGAGTTACCAGCCGGTAAAGCGAATGTACACGGGGTGGGGACACCCCTGCATATGCTTTTTGGCAAATCCCTTCACCCTCTTTCATCCAGCGCCCCCCACCCGCCGCCCCCCCGACAGCTGTCAGGCGGCTCCGATTGTACCCATTTCAAAGATGTGGTCATGGAGGACGGGAGCACCGGTGAGGTGTCGGCCTGGCCTGGGCCGGCCCTGCAGGCAGGACGGTGGAGCGGCCTGCAGAGGGCAGCAGGGAGCTGTGCCTGGAAGTGGGCCCCAAGGGCTCTCAGGTGATTCTGAGAGTCTCCTTAACCAGGAACACCCCGTGCCTTTGCCCAGGTGTGTTTCCGGTTTGGCCCCTGAGTGCGAACAGCCAGTGCTCACAGCATCTTATGTAAGAGCACCAGACCGGTCCAGGGGCGGGAGCTACCCGGGCCATAGAGCCTGGTTTCCGACTTAGACACCAGGGGGTCTTAGGAACCGGGATGTCGTCGGTTCGATTCCTGATCTGAGCACATGCCCGGGTTGCGGGCTCCATCTTTAGTGGGGGTACATGCAGGAGGCAGCCCATCGATGATGTTTCTCCTTGGTGTGTGTGTCTCTCCATTCCTCTCTCTCTCTAAAAATCAATAAAAACAATATATAAAAAAAAAGATACCCCCTCGCCCTGACCGGTTTGGCTCAGTGGATACAGTGTTGGCCTGTGGACTGGGGGGCTCAGGGTTCGATTCCGGTCAAGGGCATGTACCTTGGTTTCGGGCACGTCCCCAGTGTGGGGGGGGGGGTGTAGGAGGCAGCTGATGGATGTTTCTAGCTCTCTATCCCTCTCTCTTCCTCTCTGTGAAAAATCAATAAAGTATATTTTAAAAAAATAGATAACCCCTTACATCCTCACAGGGACAGCATTGTGGGAGGCAGGCACCCTTGCTCTCATGCCAATGCCCAGGCCGGGACTCAAGCCCAGCTCTCCGGTTGACCAATCCTGTTTCCTCCCCCCTGGAGGGTCCAGCGGGCTGGTTTGGGCATTTTCCTTTGCCCCATCGCACTCCCCGCTCTGTGCTCTCTGCCCTGTGTGGTCTGAAGTCTCGGGGAGTCCCTGGGGCGGGAGCGAAGATGCTGTTTCACTGCTCGCCCGGGCGGTCCTGTCTGCAGCCCAGCCCTGCGGGCCACAGGGCAGGCCGGCACCCCCGGAGGAAGGCGAGGCAGACAAGCTCAGAGCCAGGCAATTCGGGGGCACTCCCCTGGCCTCTGGAGTGCAGGAGAGATGCGGGGTGTGGAGGGGCGCAAACATCTGGAACAGGACTAAGGGAAGGGAGGTGTGGTGCTGAGTGGCCTGGGGAGAAATTCCTGTGGATTCTCTCTGTTGGGGATCCTGTTTGGCAGCTGTTGCTTCATCACCCACCCCAGCCTGGCACCCAGGGCCCTTGCGGGCATTGGGCAGCTCCACCCCACCCCTCCCAGCTCCACCCTCAGGCTGCTGCGTGGCCGGGGGCATGGGAAACAGGGGCCAGGTGTGCCCGGCCCGATGGGGGTTGGGGGGTGCAGAAGGGCCTGGCCAGGGGTGCAGGAGGGCCTCTGGGGTGGACGCAGGGTTCGCCGCCGGGGCCTGCTTCCAGCCGAGCGCGGGGACCAGGAGGGCAGCGGCTCGCGGTGGGAGAGGCCTCCCAGCCCCCCGCCCCCCTCTCCCCGCCTCTCCCCGCCCCTCCGCGGGCGCCTCGGCGGCGCGGCCCCTTTAAGAGGCCCGCCCGGCGCCGTCAGCCGCCGCCCCCGGCCCTCCCCTTCCTGCGGCGCCGGTGCGGGCCGCGCCGAGTGGCCGGAGCGGCGGGCGGGGCGGCGGGAGGCGGCGGCCCGGATGCAGGCGGACAGGGGCGCGCGGGCGGCGGCCACGGACCCGCGGCGCCCGGCCCGGCGGCGGCAGCGCGGCCCGCCCCGCACACAATAGCCGAGCGCGCACCCGCACCCGCACCCGCCCCGCCCCGCCCCGCACCCCTTCCCGGCGCCGCCCGCCCGCCCGCGCCCGGAGCCGAGCGCCGCCTCACCTGCCGGGAGGGGCGGGCATTGTTCGCGGGGCCATGGGGGGCGCCGGGCGCCCCGGGCCGGCCCTGGCGAGGCCGCCGCGCCGCCGCCGCTGAGCCGCCCCCCGCCCCGCGCGCAGCGGCCGCCGGGCGGCGCAGGTGAGCGGCCGCGCCATGGTGGACCCGGTGGGCTTCGCCGAGGCGTGGCGGGCGCAGTTCCCGGACTCGGAGCCGCCGCGCATGGAGCTGCGCTCGGCGGGCGACATCGAGCAGGAGCTGGAGCGCTGCCGGGCCTCCATCCGGCGGCTGGAGCGCGAGGTGAACCAGGAGCGCTTCCGCATGATCTACCTGCAGACGCTGCTGGCCAAGGAGCGGAAGAGCTACGACCGCCAGCGCTGGGGCTTCCGGGGCGCCGCGCAGCCCCCCGACGGCCCCGCCGCCGCCGCCGAGCCCCGCGCGCCCGCCCCGCGCCCTGCGCCGCCCGCCGACGGCGCCGACCCGCCGCCTCCGCCGCCTCCTCCTCCTCCTCCTGCGGCCGAGGAGCCGCCCGAGGCCCGGCCCGACGGAGAGGGCTCCCCGGGCAAAGCCGCCCGGCCCGCGCCCGCCCGCCGGCCCGGGGCCGCCGACCGGGACGACCGGGACGACCGCGGGGGCCCCCCCACCAGCGTGGCGGCGCTCCGCTCCAACTTCGAGAGGGTCCGCAAGGCCGACCCCGCCGCCGCCGCCGCCGACAAGCCCTTCTACGTGAACGTCGAGTTCCACCACGAGCGCGGGCTGGTGAAGGTCAACGACAAGGAGGTGTCGGAGCGCATCAGCTCGCTGGGCAGCCAGGCCATGCGCCTGGAGCGCCGCCGCCGGGGCCAGCGGGGCGCGCCCCCCGCACAGCCCCGCGCGCGCCCCGCCGGCAGCCCGCCGCGCGGCCTGGACGGCGACTACGAGGACGCCGAGCTGAACGCGCGCTTCCTCCGGGACAACCTGGTGCAGGCCGCCGCCTGGCCGCCCCTGGAGCCGCACCAGCCCTACCAGAGCGTCTTCGTGGGCGGCCCGCCGGCGGGGGGCGAGGCCGGGGCCGCCGCCGCCGCGGAGCCCCCGCCGCAGCGCCGCCTGACCTGGCCGCGCCGCTCCTACTCGCCCCGCAGCTTCGAGGACAGCGGCGGCGGCTACACGCCGGACTGCAGCTCCAACGAGAACCTCACGTCCAGCGAGGACGAGGAGGAGGAGGAGGAGGACGACGAGGAGGATGTGTCGTCCGGTGGCCAGTCCGGCCGCGTGTCCCCGAGCCCCGCCGCCGCTGCCGCCGCCGGCCGTCGCCGCTGCCCGGGCCGCGACCGGAGCCGCTCGCCCTCGCAGACGTCGCAGCAGTCGCTGGACAGCGGCCCCAGCCCGCCGCCCACGCCGCAGTGCCCCCGGCGCCACCGCCACGGCCCCGTCGTGGTGTCCGAGGCCACCATCGTGGGCGTGCGCAAGACCGGGCAGATCTGGCCCAGCGACGGGGACAGCGCCTTCCCCGGAGACGCAGGTGGGTACCCCGCCATCGCCGGCCCAAGTCTGGGGGGGGGGGGCTTCACCCCGGCCCCCCTGGCTGGGAAGGACGGAGCCTGCAGGAGGGACTGGGATGCCGCAGGCCAGGAGGCATGGGCAGGTGCTGCTGAGGACCAGAAGGGTTCGAACCCTGCAGGTCCCTGTGCCGGGACCAGCCATCCCCGCCCTCCGCCCTCCGTCCTCCGTCCTCCCCAGGGCCGGTTCCTGGTGTTGGGATTGGGGTGGCGGTGGGAGGAGGGGGCGGTGTGTGGGACCGGAGGCCGCTGTGGTTCCTTGGGTTCTGAGGTGTGGGGCTGGGTCCCAGGATGCTCTGGGCAGCCACCTCTCACTCCCCTAGGCTCGGGGGACCCTATCTAGATCTGGTGCTTTTATCCCCGATGGATGGTGTGCTGGGCATCCCCCCAGTTCCCGTCCCGGAAGAGTTATATGACACATTGGGGGTGTCGGGTTCGCTAGCCAGCCAGCCAGCCAGCCAGCAGCCCAAGTCAAGTCACAGCAGGTGAAGATGCAGATGAGGAGGAAGTGGGGTGACAGGTAGTTCTGACTCAGTGGGCCTCCCCGAAAAACACCGAGGGGGGGCGGGTGGGAGTGGGGGCGGAGAGCCACACCCGTTCCCATCTGCCGGGCCTGGCGGGGGACGTCGCCCACCGTTACTCACTCGCCGGCTCCGGTGGCCGGTCCCCCCCTGGCTCCCGCCTCCGGGGCGCCCCGAGGACCAGGACTCACTGGGGCTGATGTTCGGGTCCCATCTGGCCCCGACCCGGAGCTTACATCGACGGGGCCGTGTCTGTCCCTTCTGGGCTGTGTGCACACACCATGGGCATGGGGGTGATGGGGCTGGGTGTGAGCCAGTTTGTAACTGGGGCAAGGAGGAGCGTGGGTGAGGGTGAGCCTGTCGGGAAGCTCCAGGAGTCCAGTCCCTGTTGGACTGAACTGGTTTTCCGCTTCATTGATTTTCCTTTTTTCTGCTGATGGAGTTGTATGTGCTTCATTGGCCAGAGCCCTCTTGAAACCAGGGAGGCTATTTTTGGCTCCGGAGCCGCCGCCTTTTTGGGATCAGCACTCCGTCCTGTTTGTTTCAGGTGCCTCCGATCCAGCTGCCCGGTTTCCATGGGCAGCTGGCGGGGCTGCGGCCGGAGCCCTTCGTGGGGGGCGGGGCGGAGGGGGCGGCGTGTGGGACCAGAGGCCGCAGGATGAGGCTCCGGGGTGGTGGTGGAAGGCTGTGGCATTGAGAAACCTGCTTTGTAGGCACATTGGCTCGTCTGGGGCCTGGAGGGTTGCCCTGCGGCCACTGGGTACCCGCCCTGCCCGGCCAGCTGGGGCCCCGAGCGAGCCGGCTAGCCCGGCCCTCCGAGGCCCCGGAGCACTTAGGTCATCAGCAGGGTGGGTGCAAAGTCTGGGTCACACTTTACGAGGTGTCCTGCCTCGGGAAGGATGACTCCCTTGTTTTGGGAACAGGGGGACGCATTCCAGAGGCTGTCATTAACGAGCTGGGCCGGCCGGCGTGGCTCCGAGGTGGGGTGTCGACCTAGGAACCTGGAGGTCACGGTTTCATCCCCGGTCGGTCGGTCGGTCGGTCGGTTGGGGCACAGGCCCGGGTGGTGGGCTCCATCCTCAGTGGGGGGCGTGCAGGAGGCAGCCGATCCGAGATTCTGTCTCATCATGGATGTTTCTCTCCCTCTCCCTTCCTCTTTGAAATCAGTAAAGAAAGGAAATATATCAGTAAGTAAAAGAGAAGGAAAAAAAAAAAAAAAACAGAAAAAGAAGGGAGGAGCTGGGAGTGCTGGTGATGTGCGTGGGTCCCCGGCAACATGCTTTTCCCGTCTCTCCCTTTCCCTCGTTTGTAGCTCAGCAGATACAGGGGTGGTGGCTGGGGCCCGAGGAGACCACCTGCCGGGATTTGGGGCCCGGAGATTGCGACACCCCCCACCTGTGTAGCGAAGTGGCCGGAGGAGCAAGATTATAATTACGTGATTATAATTATATAATCATCGGCTGGTCGGGCCCGAGGGGGCGTGAGGCAGACCCACAGCCCTGAATAACCCATCCAGGGGCCGGCGGCCGGCGGAGGGGCTGGGGCTGCTCTCTCTGCAGACTGTGGGGTGTGCCAGGTCTCCGGAGAGAGGGCACAAGCCACCCTCCCCCCAGGAGGGGAGGGGACCTCCGTCAGCTGTTGTGCACACGTACGGGGACCTGCTGTGCTGGACGGTCGTGGTGCTGCGTGTTGGGAGACGGGCCTCCTAGCAGGTCCTTTTCCGTCGGGTGTGGATGCAGCCACTGAACTCTGTGCCTGCTAGGTATCTGCCGGCCCTGCCTGCCTGCGGGCGGCCGCGGAGGGCCAGGCACCAGGGCTGTTGTTTCTCTCTCACTTTGCAAATCTGCCAGAGAAAGGGGTTCTCTTAACTTCCCACATGTCCTGGGTTTGGGGCAGGGGGGAGCCCCGGAGGGCAGGCTTGCTGGCAAGGCATGGCCCTCCACCCACCTTTTCTGTCCTAACAGTCAGGGACCGGGATGGGGGGTGCTTGCTGCCCTGCCCACCTGTGAGCAGGCTGTGGGAGATGCAGAGGGATGCGCCTGGTGGGGAAGGTGTGACCCAGGAGTCAGCCTCCCTCTTGCACGGCGCGTCCGGCTCCTGGCCCGGGGAGCCAGGCCGGTGACCAGGGCGTGCTGGGAAGGAGGCGTCTCCAGGTGGCTGGCCAGGAGCCAGCCGAGGGGGCGCTGGGAGGAGAGGACATGGGGCCAGGGACCCACAGCCCGGGGGGATGCTTGACTGCAGAGCTCCGCCATGGCTGGAGAAGAGCTTTTGAAGATTCTCCTCCCCTTCATGCCTGATGCTGCCGTGCAGACGGCACTGCTGGGTCCACTGGGGAGCTGGGACGACAGGAGAAGGTTGTCTGCATGTTACACGTATGGTGCATACGTGCCTATAAGGTGAACGTTCTAGAAGCCACCACCCTGGGGGTGAGGGGGTGAGATCTGAGGCCGCCGTGCCCTTGGCCGGGCTGGTGGGAGCCGGGAAAGGAGGCCCGTGGCCGGCAGCTCGCCGCGGAGCAGCCGGGGGGCCGCCGTGATGCAGCCTGAGGCTCTGAGTCGCGATGGTGAACATATTGCCTGGTGTCTGGTTTCGCCTCCTGTGGCCCTGCTCCCCAGGCCAGATGGTGCGAGTTGCCAAGGCAGACCCCAGTCTGTGCAAGAGCGAGCGAGGCCCCAGGAAGGGCTAGGCCAGGCTCTAGAAAGCGGTGTGTGGGCTCTGTGGCTGGTGTGGCTCAGTGGATAGAGCATCCGCCTGCAGACCGCAGGGTCCCGTGTTCGATTCCCGTCGAGGGCATGTACCTGGGTTGTAGACTCTTCCCTGGGTCAGGGCTCGTATATACAGGAGGCCACCCCATCGGTGTGCTTCTCTCACATCGATGTCTCTCTCTCTCCACTCTCTAAAAATCAGTGGGAAAATATATCCTTGTATGAGGGTTAAAACAACAACCATCCAACGAAAGCGGAGTGTGGGGCTCCAGAAAGGGGTGTGTGAGGCAGTGGGGGACGGGGCCTCCCAGCCCGGGGAGCCCTGTGCTCGCCTCTCCAGCCCTGGGCAGCTGGGGTGTCGGGTTCCAGAAACTGGCAAGGAAATGGGGTGGCACTTGTTCTAACTGCTCAGGAAGTGCCCGGCTTGCTGGGGGCGTGGCCACTGCTGGGCTGGGCCGCCGGGACCCCAGCGAGGGGCCCGCTTTCTCATTGGCAGGTACACGCTGTCAGTCAGCTGTCGGGGTGCGATTGACAGATGCACAGAGACGTGGCCCCCAGCCCCAGCTGGCTTGGCTCAGTGGATAGAGTGCCAGCCTGCAGACTGAAGGGTCCCAGGTTCAATTCCGGTCAAGGGCACATGCCTGGGTTGCGGGCTTGATCCCCAGTAGGAGGTGTGCAGGAAGTGATTCTCTCTCATCATTGATGTTTCTATCTCTCTCTCCTCCCTTCTTCTCTGAAATCAATAAAGAAATATATATATATATATATATATATTAATATATATATATATTTTAAAAATATATTTTATTGATTTTGTACAGAGAGGAAGGGAGATAGAGAGTTAGAAACATCAATGAGAGAGAGTCATTGATCAGCTGCCTCTTGCACACCCCCTACTGGGGATATGCCCGCAACCAAGGTACATGCCCTTTGGAATCGAACCCGGGACCTTTCAGTCCCCAAGCCGACGCTCTATCCATTGAGCCAAACCGGTCCCGGCTATATATATTAATATACTTTTTATTGATTTTTTACAGAGAGGAAGGGAGAGGAAGAGAGAGTTAGAAACATCGATGAGAGAGAAACATCGACTAGCTGACTCTTGCACAGCCCCTACCGGGGATGTGTCTGCAACCAATGTATTATACATGTCCTTGACCAGAATTGAACCTGGGACTCCTCAGTCCGCAGACCGACGCTCTACCCACTGAGCCAAACCGGTTTCGGCAAGAAATATATTTTATGATTAAAAAAGAGAGAGAGAGAGAGAGAGAGAGAGAGAGAGAGAGAGAGAGAGACGTGGCCCCCAGACCAGAGCGCCGTAGCCCAGCCGCTCCGGGCGGGCAGGGGACACGCGGGAGAGGGTGGGAAGCGGCTGTTGCTTCTCTCTCCCGCCGAGCACGGCGCGCCCTCCGCGCGTGTGCGTGAATCAGCCATTCCTTGGGGAGGAGGTCACCGTGTTTCTGGGACTCTTCCCACAGGGCAGGATGGGGCCTGCCCGCTAATGAGACCTCGGACATCAAAGGCCGAGGCGGGACTTGCTGGTGGGGCCATCCTGGGCCCCACGGGCCCCATAGGCCCCACGGTGCGAGCTCAGACACCCACGCCCTCCCGTGCGCAGGCTCCAGGCACAGACCAGCCAGGAGCCGGGGGTGAAGCCCAGGGACCGTCCTCGGCTGTTCCCTTTTAGAGCTGTTTTGTTTTGAAGCTTCGAGGTGTTGTTTTATTGTGTTTTTA